GAGGAAATGGGTTGAGTATGTCGCGATGTGTTAGCATTAGAAGGTCTGGCCCCCGGTATTGATCTTGATTAAGTGGAGATGGTGCATGGACTTGAGAGTCCTTGCGAGCATATTCAGAACATATGTGTTGCATGGATAGCGGTTATGCTATAAGGGAGTGGTGTAGCGTTGGGCGAGCACCATGGCACTTGTCGTAGTGACAAGGCAGCCAAGTGGATTTCCTTGGTAAGGAAAGAGAGAGAAATGTAGCTCCGAGACGGAGTGTATATTCACGGAAGTGAAAACAGTAATGCAGAGTTATGATCAGAATCACATCCAGGTTGGATGGTTGCTGAGGCTCGGATGGAATGCATGGATGGAATCTCGGATTTCCAGTTAGATTTTGTTTTATGTGGTGGAAATTCATTCTGAAGGATGTTTGGAAGTGTCATCAGTGAATCGGGTTTTTTCTAACCCGAGGACGCTAGAACCAGTTCAGTGTAGGTATGAGGTTGCAGTGGAGAACTCGTGGAAGTTGCTCTGAGGCTGAAGCATGTCTCATCCTGTCAGCAAGAAAAGTAAAGTTGGTAAAGTTGGGTTTCGGATTTCGATGGTCGAGTCTTGAGGAACCTGGTCTGGTGAATGCCAGGTGGTGCATTACGGGGGTAGTTCTAGAGTAGAGTAGCCGCAGGCTTTGAGGACGAAGCCTAATTTAAGTGGGGGAGAATTGTAACGCCCCGTTCTTAAAGTATTTAATTATGAGTCCCTGAGATTTAATAGGAAGGGTAATTTTGGTCCTTTTGCGGGAAATGGGTTTTATCCGAGAAGGTTTGGTCAGGTGTGTGGGTTGTTAGAAGCATAGGGCTTCTCTCCACCCTCGTGTGAATGTAAAGTTTATTGGGAGCGGGTTTAGAGTAGAGGAGTTGCAGCGTTTTGAAGATGATAATTGATTATAGCTCTTAATGGAAAAAGTGGAAAAGGGTTCCATGCAAGCCATGCATGTGTACTTGAAGTTGGTTGGGTACGCCCAACGTAAGCTGGACATATGCCCATCATAGTGGAGGAAAGAAAGGCGGGTGTTTGGGTGAGTACACCCAGCGTACTCTCAGAAACCCCAAACCCTAATTTAAGGGCTACCACTATATAAGGAGCATGTTGGTTCGTACCCTACCCTCCATAGACACTCTTTTACCCCCAGAAACCCTACAAATTTGTATTCCCTCCATTGTTGGGTGTGTTTGGCCTTGGAAAGCTCATTTTTCACAAAAGAAAAAGCTAGAAGAAGAAAGGAGAAGTTGTCAAAGAAGGAGAAGAACGATTGGAGCTTATAGATCTGGAAAGATATCATCCTTTCCAGCTTAGTTAAGGTATAAAGCTTCTTTCTTGTCAATTATTTTGCATAGATCTAAGTGTTGTGAAGTTTTGGCATCATTCTTCTCCCAAAAGTCCTCATCTTGATTCATGCTTTGAGTTGGCCGAGATTATCTGTCCTTTCAGAACTTTGGAGAGGTCTTGAGTGAGAAAAATGAGGTCCCAAGGGCTATGGTTGTTCCATGTATGAGATATGTAGATCTTAATGGATTAAGACCTTGGATTAAGAGATTTATGGACGTCCCAAGTGATAAAGTTTGAGACTTTATGAAGTCTAATCATATTTGGCCTAAGGATCTGAGGTTTGGGCTTAAGAGCTTAAACCATTAAGTCGTTATGTGATGTTGTTGAGTAGTGAGGTTACGCCCCGCATAACCTATGAGTGCGCCCAGCGTAGTGGGCCAGTGTCCCGATCCCATAATGCGAACTTTGTTGTACGCCCAGCGTACCAAGAAGAGTATGCCCAGCGTACTCCCTCTGATTGGACTTCCATGTTGGGCCTTAGAGTTTGGGCTGTTTTTGGGTTGTTGGTTTATGGGCCATGAATGGAAATTTATGGATAGAGTATTTTTGTCCCATTTATTGTTATGGACGTTGGATCTAGGCCCATTTCGTGAGGTGGGCCCAATTTGGTAAATTAGGCCAATATTGGTCTTTGTATAAGATTTGGACTTTGGCCTTGGCCCGATAAGTGGATGTATGCTTGGCCTAATGTGTATTTGTGCTATTTTGGCTAGTTCGGGATTTGCATTGAGTTGGTGATTTGAAAATCTGCTTCTTCAGTTCAGAGTATCGGAAATCGCGAGGTGAGTTATCCTCACTATATCAACAGGGTCTAATGCACCAAGGCCGACCCTTTATTGGATTGAGATCCGGGTATTTGTTGTTATGTTATTGCTTTGATATGTTTGCATCCTGGTAGCTAGGATGGTATATGCTAGTGACCGGTTAGGTCGGTATCCTGGTTAGGATGATGATAAGTTATGTGATCTGTTTGATCGGCTTGTTGACTGTGAACTGTTACATGATTGTATGTTTATGTACACATGGTTGTTTGGTTTGGAGTTGGGACCTGCTTTGTGTTGTAGGCAACATACCAAGGGCGGACCGGTTATTCCGAAGGCCCAATGAGCGGTCCGGATAGGCTGTAGGCCCCACAAGGGTGGACCAGACGTGTCGATGCTCCGAGAGCGGACCAAGCCGACTGAAGGCCCGATGCGGGCGGGCTAGTCATACTGTAGACTCAGAGAGTGGACCAGGTGGGTTGAAGGCCCGATGCGGGCGGACCAAGCACACTGCAGACTCGAGGGACATGACTAGACTCGGAGGGTGGACCTGGTCGACTGAAGGCCCGATACGACAGACCAGTCACACAGTAGACCCGATATGCATAGTTGTTCTGTGATCGGTTATGATATGACATATTATATGTGTATGGTATATGTGGTTGGTATTTTGGGGGTATCTCACTAAGCTTTCGGGCTTACAGTTGTGGTTTAACGTTTTTCAAGTTCTTCAGGAGACCGTGGCAAGGCAAAAGCGTGATCGTACCGCTCCTCGTGTTTATGTTTTATGTTATGGTTCTGGGAATACTCTGATAATAAATGTATTGAAAACCTTTTTGTAATAATGTGATTAAAATGGGTTGTTTTTGAAAAGTTAAATTTTGTTGAAAATTTTGGTCGTTACAAAGGTTAATACTATTCGGCAGTCGCGATGTCGGGTTTATCCTAATACAAAAGGATAATACTTACATAACTATATTTTTCCTATTACTTTTATTTTGTGATAAATTCACATAAACAATGAGGTATAGTATATATATTGTTAATAGTAGTCATACAAGGGAAAAACCATCTTTTTTACTCTCAAAACATTCAAGTCTTGGTAGAAGACTACCTTTTTATACTAATAGGAAATATGAGATTTTCTAGGAAATTCAAACGTTTACACTTTTACTTATAAGGCTTTTCATTTATACTTATTTGGATAACGACATTAAACACTTATGAATTCACCAGCTTTAAATCTGATACTCGCTTTCAAAATAACTTGTATTCTCAGGTCACAAATAGACAGGTACCGATGCAAGGTTTAGAGAAGACGGAGCAGTCAAGACTCGTCTTTTATTTTGAGTATTCATTATGTTGTTATTACTATGAAAGAATACAATTATAAGTAAAATTATACTAATAATGCAATGGATGATGTTGTTGCTTGTTTACTACTTTGCATTGTTGTGATATTGTACATGAGTCCTCCGTTCCCAAATGTTTCCGCCGTTCCGGTTTTGGGGTGTGACAGATTGGTATCAGAGCATTGTTTATAGTGAATATAGTATATCAACCCATAAAAGATATACTAAATATAAATACATTGGGATTTAAAATACTCTGACAAAGAGTTTATACTTTTAAATAATAAAATATTTAAGTAAGTATACGTTCCTGCATTCATACTAAAATTGGCGTCACAATTACAAGAACAAAAGTATTACGATTGTTGGATATCATAAGTAAGCTTGGGGATGTATGGTCAGTGTCGGGAGTGGCATAGCCTGATCAACTATGCTAGTATGAGGAGTGATTAGCATGTGCCCAAGAATGGTTGTGATGTGGCAACCAATCTAAAAACTTACCAACACAACCACAAAGAAATACCATAGGGGCATTTGGTCTTACTATGATTACTTATTTGAGAACTAAATAGATCTCTATTAATATGTCAATAGTTGTTTAGTGGATACACTAAGGTTATATGTACTAGCATGCCATAGACTTAGAATCTGTGAATCTTTGCCTTATTTCATGTCCTCATTGGGTTGGAGACTTAGGGCTAGGGTCTCTTATTCGAAGGTCTATCATATCCTAACTACATATAACTTGTATGCACTAAACAAGTATTGAAGCAACTGATAAAGGTCATCTTATAATTATCTTAGTTAGTTCGTCTATTTAGTTACTTCCACTACTAGAAAAACAGCCTTTTACGACGCTCATTGCGCATCGTAAAAGGCTCAGACAACGCGAAAATGCACGTCAAGGAAGGCCCTGTCATAAAGAGAGACGATGCACTTTTGCGCGTCGTCTATAGAGGACGCGCATTTACGATGCTCATTTACGACGTGCAATTACAACGCGCGTTTACGACATGCAATACGTATCAAGGAAGGCCCTGTCATAAAGGAATACAACACGCATTCGCGTGTCGTAACCTTACGATGCGCTTGTTAATGACACGCAATGCGTATTATTAAAACCCCTGTCAACAAAGGCCATTTCATAAATGAAGATGACACACATTTTTGCGTATCGTAACTTTAAATGATTAAAAAAATATATTTATTTATTTATTAATTTTTAAATTAAATTTGCTTTTACTATCTCATAATAGAAATAAAATACCATATAAAAAATACAATCCATTGCATAAAATTTAATGTCATACAATTCGATTTCTTACAATAAATAAATTTGCATTCATCTAATCTACTCTGTGTGTCATACTAACTATTGAAATGAAGAATGCAACACTTGCATGCATTTGCAACATCTTATCTCTTTCAACTTGAGCTTTCTTTTCCTCCTCTAACTCCAGAGCTATTCGTTTTCATCCACCCTGTAAACACAACACAAAATCACTTGTCATTTTCATTCTACTTTAGAAATGTCAGCAGTGAAGTTAATGGATTCTGAAGAAGAAAACTTTGTTCCAATAAATTTAGCAACTTCACTGAACTTTTCTGCACTTGGGAACTTCAGAACAGATGGTCTAAACCCACGTATATCAAAATTTAATTTCATCATAATGTAAGGAGCTGCAACATGAATTAACTTCATTTTAGTTTATGTCACAAAAATAAGGAGGGAGGCTAGGTTGTTTACCCAAATTCATGGCAAGACAGCTGGTGAAAACGAAATCCGAGAAAGTAGTCACGATGAACAGATGCTTGATCTTCCGCAGGTCCATGCCAACTAACTTCATTGGTCACTTTCAAATGGCCTAGATCAATTTCCAAGAAACTGCATCCATGAAAGAAACACCGATAAACCATTTTCAAAAGATGTTTAAGCAAAGAACCTTCAATAAGTAATTATAGCATCCCCATACAAACAACTAACTAAATGAGAATGACACCTTTAAAACAAGATCCATTGTTGCTATTGAAACACTCTTCTGGATAATATTTATGGTAGAGACTATATACGTATCCTTATCTATTTATAGTAGAAACTATATACAACACCAACCACTCCAGTTCTATCCTTTGTCACCCACTATCAAATTAACATGATAACTTTTGATATACGAAAAACACAGTCACTAAACCCCGGCCAAAAAAGTTAATAATAGAAGAACATACAAAAAAAGGGCTATTCCATTCCTTCATACTAAATAAAACCTTAAACTCTTTCTGTATTAGCTTTGTTTGATATTCATATAGTGAAGGTCGACTCCTCTAAGGAATCCAGCAAATGTGGAAGATTCATGATGGTAGTTTTAAGTTGACACTTGTTAATAATATTATTTATTGCATACAAAATAAATAAATAATGACGAAGGACCATTGAAGCTAGCATATGCCCCATGCTACGTGACGATGGATCCCTACATATTCAAGCACATGAGATGAGATGCAATCAACATATTTAAGTTATAAATAAATAAATAAAATAAAAAACTTATCCACCAGCACAGATTATAGGAAACAATCTTAACAGCAACTGTAAAGGCAATGACATGGAAGAACTCAAAGTCGAAGGCAAATTCTGTAACCCCAGACTCTCGCCTATGATTCCATCTTGCCAATCTCAGACTCCCGCCTCTAATTCCCTTCCTTGTATTCGCTTTACTGACCGGACCCACAACTCTGGAAACAACCATTCCAATTGTAACCCCACTTATTTGTTGCTCAATCTCACGCATCTGCTTAATCAAATCACTGGAAAACGTAACCCCTGCGATTTTCCTCCCTCTCACTATCACTAAAAGACGTTTTTGTCCCTTGAAAATGAACATCTGCAAAAACAAAATATGTAACTTTTCTAGATTTTTCTACAATATTGTAATAGGAAATTTGATGGAACCCACAAATGGAGAATGAATGTAAACTGTTGAACCAATTTCTCAATAGATTCATCTGTTCCACGAATCACACTTGTAATCCGAGCTAGACCCTCCATTTCTGTAGGACCTGCAGCCAGACTCTGCACACATTAACACAACACATTTTTTTATTTTTAAATATTATTATTTAAAAAACAAGTAAACATTTCACTTAAAAAAATATACTATAAGGATAAAAAACCAAACATGGATGTTGTAACCCTTTATGGATATAACTCCGGTGACCAGGTTAAGAACTCCAGGAGCATTATTGACAAGAATGTTCACAGTGTGAGACTTATGACCAGTTAACTATTTTATTAATATTAAATCTGATTTATATATATCCCATAAACTATTTGCTAAATAATGATTGATAAGACATTAATGAATAATGAGAAATGGACACATATCTTACATCTTCTTCATAAAGCACACCCCAATGGGGGTCAAGGACTTGATTCATTGAGAACCTATTGTAGTACTCCACAGGATAAACATCTCCCTACATTCAAACAAATATATCACAACTCAAATTAATTAAAAAAAGTGAAATTATCACAAATAGAAACCTGCAGAGAATTAAAGAATATATCCCTAAAACGGAAGTTCCAAAATGGAGCAGTTTCACCTAACTTTTTATCTTCTTAAAGCAATCTACAATTTGCAGCATACCAATGGACTAGTGAAGCTTTTTAGGGATAATTTTTTTTATCATAAACAAGAGATTGAGAGCGGGTTTTTTGTCCCATTTGACTTGAAAATAAAAAGGTACCTGGATTCTTGAGGGACTTTTGACTTCAAGGTTTGTAGATGCAGTGGAGGTGAAAGTAGAAAAAAAGGGTGGAGAATGCGATGTAATTATCAATGGTAAGGGTGGTGGTAGAGATTTGTTGACAAATCTTGTTAACCTTCAAAAATGGAGTTGTGCCCACTGCTAGAAGTGGTAATAGCTCAGAAAATGCAGTGAACCTGTTAATTGTTATGTTACCACATAAACAAAAAATGTTTCAGAACACAACAAGGGCAAAATTGGAAAATTAAGAAATTATGAGGAAAATGGTTGGAGAAAGATGTAAACATGCTTACTAAAATAAATGATTAATAATTAAGTGAAGCAAGCAAAGTAAGAAGAAACAGGTAAATAGGGAAGGAACTTGAAATTACTCTTAGAATGCTTACAAGGAGAGAATTCTAAAGGCTTTAAGTAGTCTAAAGAGAGGGTGGGGCTATAGAACAATTACAGTTTCCTTAAAGTGAACTTAGGTTATTTATAATTATAATGGCAAGACTTGATGGATGTGGGGTAGATTTAACTTAATTTTCAACAAAGGGTAAATAGGTCATGTAACTTACCTTTAAAGACTCAAGATTCTTGTAACTCATGATAGGGTCGGGAAAAAGACACAGCTGTCACACCCCAAAACCAGGAACGGCGGAAACGTTCTGGGGCGGAGGATGTCATGTATAATATCAACAACAATGTAAAGTAGTAAACAAGCAACAACATCATCCATTGCATTAATAATATAATTATTATACAAATGTGTTCTGTCAAATTTTGATAAACACTAAAGCATAAATCAAAATGAAAGATAAGCCTTGAACAAGCTCCATCTTCCTTTCTCCTTGCATCGGTACCTGTCTATGATGACCTGAGGATACAAGTAATTTTGAAAGCGAGTATCAGCTTTAAAGCTGGTGAGATCATAAGTATTTAGTGTCTTAATTTATATATGAGAAAATGTAAGTATATGTACTTAAAAGTATTGAAAGTGTATATGAACTGTAAGTGTTTGAAAAACCCTAGAATCCCTATGATTCCTATTAATAATAAAAGGAGTCTTCTACCAAGACCTAACTGTTCTGAATGTAGTCTTCTACCAAGACCTAACTGTTCTGAATGTGTGTGTCTCTTGTAAGAGGATGTATTTTCCAAAGTATAACTATCATTATTCAAAAATATAGTTTGTACAATAATGTTTAAGTGAGGTTATCACTAAAAATATGTAATGGAAAATCAATGTAGTACTATGGTGTAGTGTCCAACTACAACCGTACTTATTACCTTAAATCTAGGGTAATACTTCCAAGTACTGTAGTATTTAATAAAAATAACTACATCGGTACTCAACTGCCTTATTTGAGGGATAAGGTATAATGTGATGTCTAGATCCTAGACTATACGCTCCCCTATCAAAGGGATTTTGGGACCTACCCACGACCCCTGCATGAACGCAAGCTGTGAGCATCCACATTAACGAATGATCATGTATACTCGATATAACTAACACAATTGTGGTGTGATTCATCAGTATAGTTAGATCCCAAACTGGTTCCGTGCTATAGCACCTAATGACGTCTGTTCTATGTATATGTAAGTGTGATCATGTAATTGTACTCAAGTAAGAGCGATCATGTAATAGTACAGTAGTGTACTATAATGTTCTACGTGTGCTAGCTGTAATGTGTGTTCTCTCTATCTAGCAAGTATAGTAATGTGATCATTCTAGTATAGTTGTATATGTTCTCGTCCTAGTATAGCTGTATATGTAATGTACTGAAAAGTTCTAGAAAGTATTGACTCATGAATGAACTGACTCATTGAATGATATCGCGTTCTAGTAATGGTTCTAGTATCTTCCTGAACTACCCATATGGTAGCTTTCTAGTAATCTAAGTGTACGTATGGACATGGATGTATACCCTTGCTACCCAAGGGCATAGGATGAACTGGAAGGACCTTTTATAACTATATATGTGTACATGATATATAACTAATATTTAAATGACCTTCGGACGAATACCCAAAATCCCACCAGACCACATCTCAAGGCATGAAAAGGAAATAGGGTGGATAGCCTTCCTAAGTCTTTTAAACATTTCTTATATAAGTATACATATAGAGGCATTCAATTTATAATATAAAAGCATAAATAAGATTTGTAAGACATTTGAAATATAAGTATTATTTTAAGAAAAGATCGACTTGGTGTCAATCTATAAAACAATTTGAAGGCATAAGTTTAATAAAACAGTTTAAGTATAAGGAAACATTTGTTTGAAACACAGTTGTAAATAAGTTTGAAAGGAAATGTACGGAGTAAGCTGTACAGTGTAAAAAGGAGTTTAAACATTTAAAATGTTTATAAAAAGTCATTTGAAGGAAACTGTTTGGTAAAACGGCTAATGAGTAGCCAAATCATTTGAATGTTGTATATTAATCACATGTGATTGATGTAATAAGTAATATAATCCTACTTGCTAATCACATGTGATTGAAATAATAAGTAGCATGATTCTACTTGTATCCCCCCCCCCCCATAAAACATTTAAAAAGAGTTTAAAACATTAGTTAAGGGGTATGAACTCACCAGCGGTAAGTGACTGGAATTGAACGGACTGTTATCGTACGGAAGGATCGGACAAGTGCTTGGTGTCAAGTGGAGACTTAGACACACACAATGATCCTGATTACATATGAAAACATATGTATATAAATAATTAGTGATTATAACACTAATTATACAAGTAATTGATGGGGTTTGAGCATTCTAACACTTCCTAAGTGTACATGCAACCCTAATAACCTTGGATCTATGTTTATCTAATTATCATGCAAAGTTGAATTCCAAGGTTATATTCCTATCTAGCATACATGGGGAACAATTTCAACTTGAATAGTAGATAGAATAACTTACCTTGTTGTTTGTGTTCCTTGAAACCTTGTGAGCCTAGCACCCCAAGTGTGATGCCTCAAAAGCTTCACACAACACCAAATGCTCTTGGAAGAACTTATGAGAGAACACACACTTCTCAAAAATTGGCCAAGCCCTCTTGTTTCTTAGTGTGTGCGATTTTGGTGGAGAATATGTTTCTTATATAGTGTTGACACATCTAGGGTTAAACCCTAATGTGTCATGACTCTTCATTTCCATGACCCATGGGTTTGTAACTCCCATGGAGCATCCTATGGGTGGAACCCATCTTGATAATCCATGGAGCCTCTTAGCCCACTATACAAGATATGGATGATTTACATAATCAACCCATATATTTAATTAGTTATCTTTTGATCACATAATTAATTCTAAATTAATTCTTGATCAAACTAATCAAATAATATTATTAATATATTAGAACTAATAATATATTAATAATCTCCAAGTGTTATTTCTCTCATTTAGTCTATCCAATTGCATGGTGCCATGCAACCCAAATGGACCATGCCGGGTCGGGTCAAGTACATACCAGAAATAGTTATGGACTTAGACACCTTATCCAATAGTAATAACATTTAAGCGCGAGGATAACACTTTTGGTCAAGTGCTAGGAGGCTAAAGGGTTGCAACAAAGGAGTGCAATGCCCCTAATGTGAGTTTAAGGTCAAAAGACCATATTCATTAGAGTTTACGGCCCAAGGAAGTAAGTTCCTGGCCGTAAACTCCCAATCAAGGCTTGGGATGGTACTTTCAATTACTACAACCTTAGTGGGAATTGTTTCAAGGCATATACAAGTGTTTGGGCACCATATTGACTCCTTTGGGGAGTTTACGGCCCAAAGACCCCTTTTCCCTTGGAGTTTACGACCGTAAACTCCCTTGGGAGGGTTCTTATTGTCCTTTCAAGTCTCCAACATTTCTAGGAACAAGTCTAGGCTTCAATTATTGGATTAAGGAAAGTTTATGGCACTAAATGGGACCATTTGATGGATTTTACGGCCGTAGAACTCTTTGGGCCGTAAACTCCCTCACACATGAGGTTCTAAGAATTTTAGCTAGTCCAAATCTCATCTAGGTACTTGCCCTAAAAGTCTCTTGGCCTTAGGAAGTGTTTAGGGTGTCCTTTGACCCCTTAATAGGAGTTTACGGCCCAAGAAATACTCTTGGTCGTAAACTCTTCCACACTTGAGTTTCCATGAGTTTTCTAGGTTCTAATCTTTTAGGGGTACATGCCAAAATAAAGTCTAAGCCTTAGGACAAGTTTGAAGGCACTTATGAACACAAAACTTGGAGTTTACGGCCCAAGGAGCTTCTTGGCCGTAAACTCCCTTATAGAAATGATTTCTAAGGGTTTTGATGGCATAAATCATGAGTTTAAAGCTTCTAGGTTTTTCTTCTAAGGCTAGGGATCACAAGGCACTCATTTGTGCCCTTTACTTGGAGTTTACGGCCCAAGAGGTGTTCCTTGGCCGTAAACTCCTCAAACTACTTGGTTTTGATTTGTTTCCAGCCTCTAATGCTCATACATAAGGTCCTTAGTTAGATGCCTAACACGGAAATGGGACTAGGTGGCCTTTAGGCTTGATTTTGGAGTTTACTCCCCAAGAACGTTCTTGGGCGGTAAACTCCCGGATCTTGTGTTTTAGACATGTAAATAATGTTATTAAGCATATAACAAGTATTAAAACACATCTAGGGAAGTAGACTCACAATCTGGGATGAAAACCCGAAGATCCGTGAGAGAGAAATGGGCTTTTCTCTAAATGGAATTCAACTAATGAACCAATTTGGTTCAGAATTCTATTTATAGTCCTGAGATTTTTGGCAGAAAATATTCTAATCTCGGACTGGATTCTAATGATTCTAGGGTAATGGAATTTACAGTGTTGCACAAAATCCTAGTGCAACCACTCTCCTAATACCCCTTTTTGGTGTAAAACCCTAAAACTGCCAAACTTATATTCTAAGTCTGAATTTTCATTGTAACTGCTCTACTTCGAGTTACCAATGCGTTTTTCATTGTTCTACCACTCATTGAATTACACACAAGAGCGCGATTTATAACATCGAGTTACCAATGCGTTTTTCGTTGCCAGTTCCTTAGCACTTTCAAAGGTGTAAGGTTTGGAGGCTAACACGTTGGACCGTAATTGGGTCGTCAGTCCCCATATGTACCTCTCTATTTTCTTGCTCTCAGGAGCAATCATATATGGGCAAAGGATTGCCAGCTCGCAGAATCTGTTGGTATATGTTGCGATGTCGGTACCAACCATTCTGAGAGTCCAAAGTTCATGCCAAGCCTTTGAATCTGTCCCCTCGGGCAGTATTCTCTCATCATCATGGCTTTGAGGCTCTCCCAGCTTATGGAGTTTGCCACTATTAGAGTAAGTACTTTAACGTGGCCATTCCACCATGTTAAAGCTCTATCAAAGAGTGTGAAGGTTGCAAATTTGACCTTGTTGTGCTCAGGATAGGAGCAGATTTCAAAGACTGATTCTGTCCTTTCAATCCACTGTCTCAGAGCCATCACACCGCCAGTTCCATAAAACATACGGGGTTTGGCATTAGTAAAGTCCTTATAAGTGCATTCTCGAGGTTGCCCATGACTCTCGCCATGGTTGGATAGATGTGTGCCAGTTCTCGAGTCATTTGTACTCGAGTTAT